ATCTCTGTCCTATAGGGTCATAATGTGTTGAGGCCTCTGCCCTATAGTGCCATCGTGAGTCAAAATCTCTGCCCTATAGGGTCATGGGGAGTGGAGATCTCTGACCTATAGTGCCACTGTGAGTCAAGACCTCTGTCCTATAGGGTCATGGGAATCATATCTCTGTCCTATAGGGTCATAATGTGTTGAGGCCTCTGCCCTATAGTGCCATCGTGAGTCATAATCTCTGCCCTATAGGGTCATGGGGAGTGGAGATCTGTGACCTATAGTGCCACTGTGAGTTAAGACCTCTGTCCTATAGGGTCATGGGAATCAGATCTCTGCCCTATAGTGTCATGTGAGTTGAGACCTCTGTCCTATAGGGTAATGTGAGTCGAGATCCCTGCCCTATCGTGTCCTGTGAGTCGAGACCTCTGTCAAGGCATTTCGGGTTCTGTTTCTGTAAACTGTGCATCTCCAGGAGGATGAGGGCCCCCGGAAGGCTGCACATGGCGGCCTCATTGGGTTTCCATACCCCTTACGTGCCTGATTCTGCACTGCAGACTGGCCCGGCCTGGAGCACGGGTGGTCCTGGGAGGCGCTGGCAGTGCAGAGTAGTGCTGAAGGCAGGCTGAGGGGGTTGGCTCTGGCTCTACCACAAGCGTTCCCTCTGACAATCTCCTTAGCTCACAGCTTCCTTGTGTGTAGAGCGAGGTTGCTGAAATGACATGTGTGGAATGCTGAGCAGCATCTTACGTAGTAGGTAAGCAACACACATGGACTGTTACTATTACTGGGGAGCCCTGGCATGCAGCAGGCTATGCATGGGGCTGCTAACTACAAGGTCAGCAGTTCAAGCCCACCAGCCACACTGAGGGAGAAAGATGAGGGTTTTCGCTCCCATAAAGATATACCATCTCAGAAACCCACAGGGGTGATGGACCGATCCTATGGGGTGACTCTGAACTGGTATCAACTTGACAGCAGCCAGTTTTATTCTGATATGATTCTAACCCCTTGGGTAGCACAAGTTAGAGAAAGATGGGGCTTTCTACTCCCGTGAAGAGTTACAGCCTCGGAAAACCAAAGGGGGGCAATGCTGCCCTGTCCTACTGGGTCGCTGTGCGTTTGGATTTGGGTAGCACAGTGGTCACTGTGCTTGGCTGCTAATCCGGAGGGTGGAGGTCTGGCTACCTCGGAAGGAAGGTCTAGAGATCTCCCAGATCGCGAGCCACTGAAAACCCCGTAGATACAATCTGACTGACATACCGAGGTCTCCGTGAGTCTGGATTGGCTCCACACCAACTGGTTATCGGCTGTGGCTATCCCTCGTGGGCACAGGTTGGCGTCTCC